TATCTGCCTGCTTGTTTCTCAACACATCAGCATGACAGGGAGAAAACATTCAAAGGATGCTAACTATCTGCGACCCTTGAAGTAATGCCTGCCACTCTGCACGGAGCATACCTGTCTCAATCTTTCTCAACATGCTTTGTGAATTGGTTACAATTATGACATGTGTGTACAGCCAATTCTCAAGCCATCTAAAAGCCGCAGTGACTGCCTCCACTTGCATTCTCAAACTAGATGTGGTGTCATACGACAGACTTTGTTGCACTAAGCGACATCCATTCACTTTTGCTTGGAACCTCCATGCAGGTCTTCTATCCCTAAAAGGATAGTCCAAAAGCAACATCCGTTTGCTTTTGCTATGAACTTCCATGCACTTCTTCTACCTCTCATTAAACCAAGGAGTTTGTCAAAAAACATTAGTTTGAAATTTGTGGCATTTACAGATCAGGAGAAGGCATTCAACAGAGTCAGCAGACAGAGTTTAATGGAAAGTCTTCCTCTTCTTCGCCTTTTTCTAACCTCCAATGGAGTACAGGCCCTCAACAACCTCATGCCAAGTTGTTCTATCATTCGCTATTACATGCAGCTCACACCATGTCCTCCCCATTTTTTTACCATCACTGTCTAACTCCCCTCTCCTTGAGCTTTTGGTCTGGCTTTATTTCTCTTCTCCAGTTGATTCCAGTGCAAAGACATTCTAGTTATACTGTTCTCAGGTTTTTTTCAGAATGCGTCCTATCTAATGACAGCATCTTTTCCTCACCTCTTGGTCCACTGGAACCTGTTTAGTTCTCTCCCAAAGCTCTACATTAATGATTCTATTCCATTTAATTCTCTCTATTCGGTGCATGCACCAGTTAATGAATGTTTACAGTTTATTAATAATTATTTTAGCTGTTCTTGTTTCAGCTCCATACAATAGTACTGATTGTGTATTCGTATTTTACTATTTCTATCAGCTCCCCCATCTTTAATGTTCACTATAAAAGCACTCAGTGGCTACATTACTGCCCAAACAGGCGTATGACCCCACATCTTGGAGTGGAATACTTTTAAGAGAAACCAAATTACTATTTGCCTGATTTATTCTCATTATCTTTGCCTTTCCTCTGCGGATTTTTAGACCTAGTTGTTGTGATCTCTTACAATTTAATTTGTCTTGCACCTGATTCTCTGAGTGGAACGGAAGAGAAATATCATCAGCGAAGTCCAGATCCCCTAGCTGTTTTGTAGGAGCCCCCTCAATTCCATTCCTGGCATTAGCATTTGCTGTCTTTATAATCAAGTCTATGTCCAGTTTTAAAAAAAATAGAAGAGGCGACAAAAGATACCCTTGTTGCATACCTGTTTTTTTTTAAATCTCAAATGTATCTGTTAGCTTTCCCTCATTGAGAACTCGACATTTCATGTCTCAGCATGTTTCGTTTACTAAGTTAATAATTTTCTGTTGGATCCTATACTGCCCCATCAATTTCCAGATAAATTCCTAATCAATGCTGTCAAAAACTTTTTCATAATATATAAATCCAATGTAAAGTGGTGAATTTAATGCGGTCAGTAAAGGATCTGCCTGTTCATCTCTTAGAGTTTTTACCAATAGCATCTTTTAAACTTTCCAAAAAATTCCTACATTATTATTTTTCCAGAAACGGAGAACATCATAATTCCTTTATAGTTGTCATTTTCCTGCAGATTACTTTTTTTCTGGGCAGTTTCACAAGATATCCTTTTCTCCAGTCTGTTGGTTGTTTCTTTGATCTCTCATACTTAACTAAACAATCTGTGTAGCAATGCCTCTGATGTGTTAATATTGGCCTTAATAGCTTCTGCTGCGATACCATCTGGACCTAAAGCCTTTCCTTCCTTCAAAATATTGACAGCTTTACTAATTTTCTCTTTAGATGGTATCTCAGTTGATACCCAGCTCCATTTCTAAAGGCTGGACATCTGGAGGGATCTCTGGGGCTGGTCTGTTTAGAAGCATTTCAGAATATTCAACCCATCTATCCATTTGTTAGTAAGTACCTTTCCTTGGCTGTTTTTGATTGATCCAGTTGGCTGACTATATTTACCTACTAATTTCCTTGAGATAATTTACACTCGATATGGAGTCAGCGAACACCTCATCAAAGTCTGCACAAGTTTATACAAGGAATTTAGAAGAATAGTTAGAATAAATCAAGGAATCTCATAATCATTCACAGTAATATCTCAAGTAATACAGGTATGTGGCTTATCACCACTGTTGTTTATCTCAAGTGATACAGGGATTTTGTTTATCACAGATGTCGACAGTAGATGCAAGGATGCCAAGCCCAAGAACAAAAATATTAGATCAACAAGTTACTCTCTGCTGATGACCAAGTCTTGACAGCAGAGGTCATTAGCAAAACAGTTGGCACAGAACCAATTCCAGATTACATACAAGGAAAGCAGATCAAGAGGTGTGCCTACTCAGAAAGAATGCATTGCAACACCATACCATACAAGGTGTACGCCAAAAGAGAAGTACATAAAGCACAATCAAAAACAAAATGGACAGATTGCATCAAAGAAACTCTACAATGGATCAATATGTCTGTGGTCAAAGCAGCCAGAAGTGCAAACAAGCAAAACCTTATATCTCCTTCAACACTCAAAGTGGTAAATGAGGAAGTGAACATGTGCACGTGAGAGTAGGGAGAGGGAGGGAGAGAGACAGAGAGAGAAAGAGAGATAGAGAGAGAGAGAGAGAAAGAGAGAGAGAAAGAGAGAGAGACAGAGAGAGAGAGAGACAGAGAGAGAGAGAGACAGAGAGAGAGACAGACAGAGAGACAGAGACAGAGAGAGCAAGGAGGTGGGGGATGGAGAGGGGCAAAGAAATAGATTTTTTAATACGTTATTGTATTAAGTAAGGTTTTCTAGAAGAAAGATATGGAAACACATATGAGCTTATATTGACTCACACTGTTTTCTTATGTTATTGCTTATACTGACAAACACTGTTCTTGTGTCCCCACCAAAACTGATTGAACACTGTCCTCATATGTATTCCTGTATTCCTACTTACCAAGATTTTCCCCTAATGCACTCATTTGTAAAAAAATTCAGGGCGACATATTCAGTTAACACCATGTGTTTTTAGAAACTACTTAATGGGAAATAAGAAATATATATATATATGACAAAATGCAAACATTTCCAGTCCAAAGTTCATAACTAACAATAGATGAAATATGTCAACATTCTTCTCAAAACATCTTTGTACTGTCTTCCCTGAGTGTCTGTCAATGCTAGCATTTGTAAAAACATAATTGTAGGTTCTCTTGTTACCAGTCAGTCACAGTTGGTATCTGGAATATCATCATTCTCAGCACTGGATCAACATCCAGTTGTTAACATTTGGTCATCTGCAGCAGAAATGATATTTCATAGTTTAGCTGACAGCAGTGATGTGTTCACCATCAAGCACTCAGTGGCTACATTCATAGTTTCTCTCCATAAATGACCGGGTCACAGTGACAGCAGTTAAGATTTCTGACATGGATTCTAGCTGATAGATTATGGTCATGGTGATAGCTGTCTAATGGGTCATGGTGACACCTGGCAGATACTGCCTTAATGACAGTGTATACATTACTGTCATAGTGAGGGCTGTTAAACTAATGTCATGTTGAGTTTTGAGTTATGGTGACAGAAGTAAGTTTACTGTCATGATGGCAGTAGGCAGACTACTGTCACAGTGGTAGGAGCTAGATTTCATACGCTGTAACCAGCCGCTTAAATGATGAAAACTCAATTTCTTTCACTATAGCCAAATCCCTAATTGCACCCACATTTTGTCATTTGTTTGTTTAAAAAAAAAGGGTAAGGTAAAAAAAAAAGGGGGGGGGGGGGGGGGAGGAAGACACGCCATCACCAACCTGACACTGTTAAGATAAAGTAGACAGCCAATTTCATTTCTTGCTTCTTGTACCCCACCAGGACATCACGCAAGCGATTAACACCCGATGACACAAAGTGCCACCATGCGGATGAGTATCCCCCGTGGAGAGGTCCCAGAAACCCCTTTCAGCTGTTATGGCCTCATTTGTGGCCCAGCTATACTCAGGGCCCCCGGCAAAAGCCAGGGTGGGGCTTCAAAACAAATGAAAAATTGCATCCCATAAGTGGATGGCTTGGATCAACAACTTCAATTCTTGTCATCTCTCCTTAAATACGACATCCACTGTATAAAACTGGTTTAGGCTGACAGCCACACACACAGTTATATTATTCATCAACTTAGGATAAAACCATGGCCGCCTGGTGCAATGACCCATCCATCCATCCATCCACCCCCTGAACTGATCTGTTGCACACTGATGTGACGGTTGACAGTTACCCAGCAACAAGAACTGGACACTACTCATATATTCTAAATCATGATTTATATACAACAAACTACCCCGCTGTCTTATCCTGGCATCATCTCCCTTCTCATATGGTAGACGACTGACCCACAACTTCCACAGCATAAGAAAAACTGCTTGATCACTTTGCCATAATGACTCCCAAAATCTGCAGATGTTGTACACAGTTGCAAGTAATTTTCTTCCAGAAATACCTTTAGCTTCAAGAAATGTTCTTGCCTGTTGGTTTGGCAGAAACATGAGATGACGGACAACAACAGTGAGATAATAATATACCTGGCTTTAACAATAGTAACAGCAGCTGTAAGATAACTCTAGCTATTGTTTACCCCTATTTACCCAACTGCTAAACTGCGCCAATGTTTGTTTGTCTGGATGTACATCAAACATCGCTACACAAACATTCACTTCTATACTGAATAATGTTGTTTCTAAGCAGACACAAATCTGTTATCCAAGTCTTAAGTATCCACATGGAATTTGTTACTTCTGGATGGCATCATGAGGAAGTTTCCCAGCACAGCACCATGACACACCCTGCACTTAAGGGCACCTCTCAGTTATCACAAACTACTGTGGCAGGTGTTAACATGAACTTGTTTTGAACCCAGCAATTTCAGCACTTCCCAGAATGCCATTGCACAGTGAAGAGTTGCTGTTCTCATCTGCTGCAGCAGCTCTCAGAGCCCTGCCCTTGAGGTCAGCAAGGTCCTGCAGCAGTTTGTTGTTTGCCTGGTCAAGCTTGCGTATCCTTTGTTCCTGGACCTCTATAACTTGTTGCCTGTGCTCTACGGCACTGGCCATTTCAGCCTGTTCCTTTTTGAGCTCCTCTTCTATCAACTGAAGCCTTGACATGTGGAAACAGAGGATGAGAATTAATACACTACAGTTATGTCAATGAATACACTTGTGGTATAAGAATTAATACACTACAGTTATGTCAATGAATACACTTGTGGTATAAGAATTAATACACTACAGTTATGACAATGAATACTCTTGTGGTATAAGAATTAATACACTACAGTTATGTCAATGAATACTCTTGTGGTATAAGAATTAATACACTACAGTTATGTCAATGAATACACTTGTGGTATAAGAATTAATACACTACAGTTATGTCAATGAATACACTTGTGGTATAAGAATTAATACACTACAGTTATGACAATGAATACACTTGTGGTATAAGAATTAATACACTACAGTTATGACAATGAATACTCTTGTGGTATAAGAATTAATACACTACAGTTATGAAAATGAATACACTAGTGGTATAAGAATTAATACACTACAGTTATGACAATAAATACACTAGTGGTACAAGAATTAATACACTACAGTTATGACAATGAATACACTAGTGGTATAAAAATTAATACACTACAGTTATGACAATGAATACACTAGTGGTATAAGAATTAATACACTACAGTTATGACAATGAATACTCTTGTGGTATAAGAATTAATACACTACAGTTATGACAATGAATACACTAGTGGTATAAGAATTAATACACTACAGTTATGTCAATGAATACTCTTGTGGTATAGGAATTAATACACTACAGTTATGAAAATGAATACTCTTGTGGTATAAGAATTAATACACTAAAGTTATGACAATGAATACTCTTGTGGTACAAGAATTAATACACTACAGTTATGACAATGAATACACTCGTGGTATAAGAATTAATACACTACAGTTATGACAATGAATACTCTTGTGGTATAGGAATTAATACACTACAGTTATGACAATGAATACACTAGTGGTACAAGAATTAATACACTACAGTTATGACAATGAATACTCTTGTGGTATAGGAATTAATACACTACAGTTATGACAATGAATACTCTTGTGGTATAAGAATTAATACACTACAGTTATGTCAATGAATACACTTGTGGTATAAGAATTAATACACTACAGTTATGACAATGAATACTCTTGTGGTATAGGAATTAATACACTAGAGTTATGTCAATGAATACTCTTGTGGTATAGGAATTAATACACTACAGTTATGACAATGAATACACTTGTGGTATAAGAATTAATACACTACAGTTATGACAATGAATACACTTGTGGTATAAAAATTAATACACTAAAGTTATGACAATGAATACACTAGTGGTATAGGAATTAATACACTACAGTTATGACAATGAATACACTAGTGGTATAGGAATTAATACACTAAAGTTATGTCAATGAATACACTTGTGGTATAGGAATTAATACACTACAGTTATGTCAATGAATACACTTGTGGTATAGGAATTAATACACTACAGTTATGACAATGAATACACTTGTGGTATAGGAATTAATACACTACAGTTATGACAATGAATACACTTGTGGTATAGGAATTAATACACTACAGTTATGACAATGAATACACTTGTGGTATAGGAATTAATACACTACAGTTATGTCAATGAATACACTTGTGGTATAGGAATTAATACACTACAGTTATGTCAATGAATACACTTGTGGTATAGGAATTAATACACTACAGTTATGACAATGAATACACTTGTGGTACAAGAATTAATACACTACAGTTATGTCAATGAATACACTTGTGGTATAGGAATTAATACACTAAAGTTATGACAATGAATACACTAGTGGTATAGGAATTAATACACTACAGTTATGTCAATGAATACACTTGTGGTATAAAAATTAATACACTAAAGTTATTACAATGAATACACTAGTGGTATAGGAATTAATACACTACAGTTATGTCAATGAATACACTTGTGGTATAGGAATTAATACACTACAGTTATGTCAATGAATACACTTGTGGTATAGGAATTAATACACTACAGTTATGTCAATGAATACACTTGTGGTATAGGAATTAATACACTACAGTTATGTCAATGAATACACTTGTGGTATAGGAATTAATACACTAAAGTTATGACAATGAATACACTAGTGGTATAGGAATTAATACACTACAGTTATGTCAATGAATACACTTGTGGTATAAAAATTAATACACTAAAGTTATGACAATGAATACACTAGTGGTATAGGAATTAATACACTACAGTTATGACAATGAATACACTAGTGGTATAGGAATTAATACACTAAAGTTATGTCAATGAATACACTTGTGGTATAGGAATTAATACACTACAGTTATGTCAATGAATACACTTGTGGTATAGGAATTAATACACTACAGTTATGACAATGAATACACTTGTGGTATAGGAATTAATACACTACAGTTATGACAATGAATACACTTGTGGTATAGGAATTAATACACTACAGTTATGACAATGAATACACTTGTGGTATAGGAATTAATACACTACAGTTATGTCAATGAATACACTTGTGGTATAGGAATTAATACACTACAGTTATGTCAATGAATACACTTGTGGTATAGGAATTAATACACTACAGTTATGACAATGAATACACTTGTGGTATAGGAATTAATACACTACAGTTATGACAATGAATACTCTTGTGGTATAAGAATTAATACACTACAGTTATGGCAATGAATACACTTGTGGTATAGGAATTAATACACTACAGTTATGACAATGAATACTCTTGTGGTATAAGAATTAATACACTACAGTTATGACAATGAATACTCTTGTGGTATAGGAATTAATACACTACAGTTATGACAATGAATACTCTTGTGGTATAAGAATTAATACACTACAGTTATGTCAATGAATACACTTGTGGTATAGGAATTAATACACTACAGTTATGACAATGAATACACTAGTGGTATAAGAATTAATACACTACAGTTATGTCAATGAATACACTTGTGGTACAAGAATTAATACACTACAGTTATCACAATGAATACACTTGTGGTATAAGAATTAATACACTACAGTTATGACAATGAATACACTTGTGGTATAAGAATTAATACACTACAGTTATGTCAATGAATACACTTGTGGTATAAGAATTAATACACTACAGTTATGACAATGAATACACTTGTGGTATAAGAATTAATACACTACAGTTATGTCAATGAATACACTTGTGGTATAGGAATTAATACACTACAGTTATGACAATGAATACACTTGTGGTATAAGAATTAATACACTACAGTTATGACAATGAATACTCTTGTGGTACAAGAATTAATACACTACAGTTATGACAATGAATACTCTTGTGGTATAGGAATTAATACACTACAGTTATGACAATGAATACACTAGTGGTATAGGAATTAATACACTACAGTTATGAGACAAAATACACTAGTTTTATGAGAAATAAAATAACAAATTTATAAGAATGAATAAACTAGTGGCATGAGAATTATTACAGTAGATTTGTCAGAATAAATACACTATTTTTATGAGAATTAATTCAACAGATTTAAAAGAAGAAATACACTAGCGGTATGAGAAAAAAAATATCCTACAGATATGAGAATAAATGCACTATAGACATGAAAATAAATACCCAAGAGATGTGAGAATAAACTAGAGAAATTAGAATAAACAAATTTAAAAAGAATAGCTAGAGTTATACAGTCATCAGAAGTATGAGAATGAACAGAATATTGGAATGTCTTCCATGCCACTATACAAACCAACACAGCACTGTCTCCCTATTTCAACTTGTTTCCAACACTCCTGATCTTCCCCATTCCGTACTGATATCTAAGAACTATATCACCCATACCCAACACAGCATTGTCTCCTTATTTCAACTTGTTTCCAACACTACTGATCTTCCCCATTCAGTACTGATATCTAAGAACTATATCACCCATACCCAACACAGCTTTACCAAAATGTTCTCATAACTAGTGCCATCATTTGTCAATACCTTGATAACACTGATTTCATCTGCTCATCTTTCTCTTCCTGCTGTCGTCTCATCTTTTCTTCAGACTCCACAAGTCTGTACTGCCACTCATCCATCAGCTTGTGTGTCTCCATCTCATGGTCCAACAGCCTCAGCTCTGCCTGGTGCAGTCTCTCCTGTGCTTCCAGCAGCTGCTGCCGTAGTACATGCACTTCTTGCTCGTACTGTCAGAGTACCGTAACATCAGTTAGAAAGTACTGGTCAATAAATAACATTTGGGCAACACAACATGTCTACTCCACATGTGATAGCAGCCAACAAATGTGGCCCCAAAAAAAAAGTAAAAAAAAAAAAAAAAAATCACCCACACATACAATACACACACATACACCCCCGCGTGGGTTCCGGGGCCCCATTGTGGGGAAAACAAGAATAGACCCGCTGCCTCCCAAAAAGCATGTCGTAAGAGTCGACTAATTGGGGAGCTTCCTTTGAAGTCGGAGTGCATCTGCCGGAGAGGCAAGGAACCAACAGTCTGTATTCAAGAGAATGAGATCTGTAAAACTGATGCACACGCAACACTCAGGTTCTGGAGCAGGACTGCAGTTCAGTAGTGGACGAGCAACCAGAACCTCCGCCAGAGTTTACAGCTGGTGAACGTGAAGAAGAAGAAGAAGACACACATACAGACACAAACACAACACACAACCCAACCAACATATCTCTGCAAACAACACAGGAAATTAAACATCTGGCTAACATAACACAGCAGACAACATATGAAAGACAGTAGAAGAAAAGAAACATCACATCTTGATAGCATAACCAAGCAAGACAACACATCTGGATAGTACACAGGTGGTAGGTAATTCATGATACATTCCTAGTGCTTGAATACAACAACATTAGATAAACATACTGTCCCACAGACTAAAGGCAAGTTTCTGGTTCCACAATGAAGGAATGCAAACTGACTGACCTTGCACACTGACTGACCTTGCACATGACATACTGATTTAAGAATTAACATCACAGAATTCTGGGCACACCCATAGACACCACTCTTACAAAGAGTCCTACAAATATCAAGTGGAGCAGACTCATCAACTGCAAGCGTGGCCTGGCAGCACTGAAGACGATGGTGGCGACACGCATGTAATAGAGATTATTGGTCTGATTGTTTAACCATTTGGTCTTTTCTGCATTCGATTATGGCCTAGGAATATTAACTCTATCTACTTCACAGTGTACACAGCATGAAAGGATTCAAAATGAAGGAATGAGAATCATCTTAGGTTGTACATGAGATATCCCAAATAAGAACAATGTGGTACATGCTTGGGCTGACATCGGTCAAGTCTAGGCTGTCACTGGCGCAAGCCAAGACCTTTATACGAGTTAGCAATGATGAAAGGGATCTGCTGCATGGTAATTTGAACGACTTCTTCTTCTATGTTCACCGGCTGTAAGCTCTGGCGGAAAGTCCTGGTTGTTCATACATTTGGACTTTGGCTTTGTGCTAGGGCCTGAATTTTGCGTGTACATCTGTTTTACTGACTTACTTGTGTGCAGTTCATTGTTCCTTGCCACTTGGGCAGATGTACTCCAACTTGAAGGAAGTTCCCAGTTAGTAGACTTCTAAGACATGCTTATTGGGTAGGCAGTGGGTCTATTCTTGTTTTCCCCCCACAATGGGGCCCCAGAACCCACACGGGAAAATTGAACGATTTAAGAGGAGACCATTTAAAAAGGAGGAAAGTCGTGTATGGTACTAGCTGAAGATACCATTGAGACGGCAGCTTCGGTCAAGAAAAAACACAGGGGGGACAGGAATGGATCAACACGAACACCCACAACAGCAGTTTCCATTAGGTCATTACCATGTTAGGAAGAGAATGTAGAGAGTGGTGTAACGGTATAGCAACTGACAGATGGAAAGGCTGGGTCAGATGATGCAGTAGTGTACAACAATGGTTCCGTTCATCGGGGTGTAAGATCTGGCTGAGGATTTTCAGCTAGAATGAAGGGAAAGATTGTGGCAGAACAAAATGGAGTTTGTTATCTACAACTTCAAGCATGAGAATGGAAGTGGAGGCAGTCACTGCAGCTCTGAAGTGGATAGCAGAAAACAAAGTTACCAGAGGAATTATTGTGTCTGATTTTCAGCATTGTGGAAGGTCTAAAATGGACTAATGTGGCATGAGTGGATACCATTCGCCAACATTGCAGGGAATCACATGGATATACTGTCCGGGGAAATGTAGGAGTGCGAAGGAATGAAAGAGCAGATTTTCTGGCTACAATAGAGAAAGCTATGGGAACACTGGTACTGGACAAGGGAGATATTCTGAAGACCATTCACGAACAACTGCTGACAGAAGACATGAGATTTGATAAAATAACATGTGCAAAATTGTGTGAATAAGGAATCAGATGTGGATCTAGTAAGGAAGGATGGATGAGAGGAAGAGAACAACGTGTGTATAATCAGTGTGCTGTGGGGACAGTTAGCATCTACACCTTATGGCATTTGCTGTGGGAGATGGAGCATCTATGGGTATGCCCCGTGTGCCATGATGTCGATTCTTAAATCAGTAATCTGCTGTTGGTGCTATGATTGCCTGGTCATCAGCAAAAAGCAGTTCATTAAGTAATTCTCCAACGCTATCCCCTTCACTGGTGTTAGAAGATTCACAGATTTAGTCAGACTTATGTGATAAACAGTATTATTGGTGGTAAAATATTCCTGATCTAATTAATGTAGAACTTTTCAGGCATTCAACTTCATTTCTATGTTCAACCGTTTTCAGTACTGAAAGCAACAACACAGATATGAAGATATCACATGTGCAGCTACAGTCATGTATAGGATGTATCCGTACAGGAAGTATGTCAAACCCACTTTATTTTCTCTATTCTATGTTACATCTTTCTGCAGTCATCATCTTTCCAAGGTATTAGAGACAAATGTCACACGGAACCATACTGTTTGTTGTCAGCAGTGCTGCCATAGTGTCTAGCACATCACACTACCAGTCATGACATTTACTGTTTGTTGTCAGCAGTGCTACAATAGTGTCTAGCACATCACACTACTAGTCATGACATATACTGTTTGTTGTCAGCAGTGCTACAATAGTGTCTAGCACATCACACTACCAGTCATGACATATACTGTTTGTTGTCAGCAGTGCTACAATAGTGTCTAGCACATCACACTACTAGTCATGACATATACTGTTTGTTGTCAGCAGTGCTACAACTAGTGTCTAGCACATCACACTACCAGTCATGACATATACTGTTTGTTGTCAGCAGTGCTACAATAGTGTCTAGCACATCACACTACTAGTCATGACATATACTGTTTGTTGTCAGCAGTGCTACAATAGTGTCTAGCACATCACACTACTAGTCATGACATATACTGTTTGTTGTCAGCAGTGCTACAATAGTGTCTAGCACATCACACATATTGTTGTTTTAATGTCTAGACGCCTGATGTGTTTAACAAATTGTATTGCAGTATTATGTCAGCCTGTAATGGAGACATGTCAAGATGTGTCTGTGATGGAGACATGTCCAGATGTGACTAATTGAGACATGTCAAGATGTGTCTGTGATGAAGACATGTCCAGATGTGTCTGTAATGGACTCTGGTCAAGATGTGTCTGTAATGGAGTCTGGTCAAGATGTGTCTGTAATGGAGTCTGGTCAAGATGCGTCTGTAATGGAGTCTGGTCAAGATGTGTCTGTAATGGAGTCTGGTCAAGATGTGTCTGTAATGGAGTCTGGTCAAGATGTGTCTGTAATGGAGTCATGTTCAGATGTGTCTGTAATGGAGTCATGTCCAGATGTGTCTGTAATGGAGTCATGTCCAGATGTGTCTGTAATGGAGTCATGTCCAGGTGTGTCTGTGATGGAGTCATGTCCAGATGTGTCTGTAATGGAGTCTGGTCAAGATGTGTCTGTAATGGAGTCTGGTCAAGATGTGTCTGTAATGGAGTCTGGTCAAGATGTGTCTGTTATGGAGTCTGGTCAAGATGTGTCTGTAATGGAGTCTGGTCAAGATGTGTCTGTAATGGAGTCTGGTCAAGATGTGTCTGTAATGGAGTCATGTCCAGATGTGTCTGTAATGGAGACATGTCAAGATGTGTCTGTAATGGAGACATGTCAAGATGTGTCTGTAATGGAGACAAGTCAAGATGTGTCTGTAATGGAGACAAGTCAAGATGTGTCTGTAATGGAGACAAGTCAAGATGTGTCTGTAATGGGGACAAGTCAAGTTGTGTCTGTAATGGGGACAAGTCAAGTTGTGTCTGTAATGGAGACAAGTCAAGATGTGTCTATAATGGAGACAAGTCAAGATGTGTCTGTCATGGAGACAAGTCAAGATGTGTCTGTCATGGAGACAAGTCAAGATGTGTCTGTCATGGAGACAAGTCAAGATGTGTCTGTAATGGAGACAAGTCAAGATGTGTCTGTAATGGAGACAAGTCAAGATGTGTCTGTCATGGAGACAAGTCAAGATGTGTTTGTAATGGAGACAAGTCAAGATGTGTCTGTAATGGAGACAAGTCAAGATGTGTTTGTAATGGAGACAAGTCAAGATGTGTCTGTAATGGAGACAAGTCAAGATGTGTCTGTCATGGAGACAAGTCAAGATGTGTCTGGAGACAAGTCAAGATGTGTCTGTCATGGAGACAAGTCAAGATGTGTCTGTCATGGAGACAAGTCAAGATGTGTCTGTAACGGAGACAAGTCAAGATGTGTCTGTAATGGAGACATGTCCAGATGTGTCTATAATGGAGACAAGTCAAGATGTGTCTGTAATGGAGACATGTCCAGATGTGTCTGTAATGGAGTCTGGTCAAGATGTGTCTGTAATAGAGAAGTCAAGATGTGTCTGTAATAGAGAAGTCAAGGTGTAAAAGCTCAAGTTTGGGGTACGTTTATAAAAGCCTTAACAAGAAACATATAAGCTGTAGAAAGAAGAGTGCCCAGAACAGCTAGCTGACATCTAGTTCACAAATATTATTTAAAAACTTCAAATGAAAACAAATCCTACTTCTTGTTTTGCTCTCTCTTGCTCCTGCAGTTTCCTCTGCACTGAGCTAATGCCCATGTGCACAGTAGATTGCTGAGACAGTCTGCGATTAGATGCACTGTTGATGTTGGGAGAGCCTGGCTGCCAACCGTCATCACAGATCAAAGGCCAGCTGGGGTCAGACCCTGTGGGTGACAGACCATCTGCAGGTGGGCTGAGAAAGGACTCAGTAGCAGCTCTTTTGATAGTGTCATCTTTGGGTTTGCTGAGGTAGCCCAGGTCCATGCTACGAGATGCTGTGTAAGAGCCAGAAATATTGGAACTAGAGTTTGTGCATTCAGGGTTGGAGTGGTAAGAAGTGACTCGTTCCGCACGAGGACTGCCTGCCGGGTTGGGGTGTACCACAGCGTACTTGGTGGTCAAGAATGCTGGCGGTTGGGGCAGGGGGTTGGTTTGAAGAGACAGTGTGTTTATTTGGCTGTCACTGATGCTAGACAGTCTTGCATTAAAACTGGCTGGATTAGGGTGATTGTGGAAGAGACCTCTATTGTCCAACTGGCTTGAATTTGATAATCCAGCAACATTATTGTTGCCACTGCTGACCGAACTGTTAGAATCACTAGGAGTTTGTGAAATTCTAGAGTTATTGACACCACCCAAAGATCCACTAGAGTCACTGCGGGCTGGTGCTCTTTGGTGCATCTTAGTGAGGCTATTTACAGAGCTGTTGGAGTCGCTGTGGGAGGGTGTGTAACCCCAGGGTTGTAAGGGTGAGTAAGCCGAGCTGATGCTGTGAGCACTACTGGATTCATGCATGCTGGATGTGCTGTGCTGATTGGAGCGAACCAAACTCTGTGGAGATGACTCACTGCTACTGCTAGTTTCCTGTGAGGAACTGGACCTCTCCATATGATGGGCAATCTGCCAGCCTGTGGATATGGTGGTTGCTGTTGGAGGCTTGTGTGTCACCCCTTTACAGCTGACTAATGATGCAGCAGCTACACCTGTGGTCGTGCTTGTGACTGTGTTGCCATTTATTTTAAAGTTTGCTGGACTCCCCAGGAGGCTAGACTTATCAAGTCTGTGCTGAGTTGCAGGACTTGAATAGGTAGATGATGCTGCACTGCTACCGGCAGTACTGAAGCCTCTAGATGTAATCATGGGACTGGTTGATAAACTATGCTGACTGCTAGAGTTACTTCGCTGGGCAAAATTATCTACATCTGATAATGAGGGCCCAGCAGTATGTTTCACAGCATGAAAGTTGCGTAACTGAAGATGACCTGTCTGGTTAGTTGTCAACCCAGCTCGTTTTGGAAAAGGTCTTGTTGGCTGTTGTGTATCAAGAATACCACTGCCTGCATTTCTGTGACCAGGGGTCGACATCTGCCTCTGAACACTGGGACAGTGATGGGACATGGGACTCGAACTGTCAATCACAACCGATGAGGTGCTCATAGTCTCCATCTGTGGCTGTGATGGGCTAGCATCTCTGTTTGTTTGTCCCTGCTGCCCTCGGTGTCGACGAGGGAATGTACTACAGCCATTCACTGCACTGTTAGCCAGGAAAGGCATCACGGAAGCCGTGGTCCTTGTGGAAGAAGTAGAGATGAAGCTGGCTGAAGTTGAGTGGACAACATTTGATGAGTGAGAACTGTGGGAGGAACTGCTAACACTGGACACCAACTGCTCATTTAAACTGTCATTGCTGCTGGAACTGGACAGCTGGGATAGCTTCTTCAGGGGAGCAATGGATGACTGGTAGTCAGATGAGACGGATACAGATGACGATGTCAATTTGGTAAAATGAGACTTGCGTGGTCCTGAAGCAGAGTCTCTGGCTTCACTACCATCACTGCTCAGTGAAGAGTTGCTGGACGCTCTGCGGACAGTCTCTGCTTGGCCTAATGTTATACCAGTCAGTGTTCTCCCACTGCCGGTTCGAACACTGCTGTGTCGTGACTGGTGTTGCTGGTGGTGGTGTTGAAACAATGGATTGGAAAATGCCAGTGGTTGTGGAGGCTGCATAGGAAAAAGCAAATGAGACATTTCAGGAACAGATAATGCATATAATTTAACTAAAATAGTGTCACTGTTAAATTAGAAATGTAAATCTCTGCACCCACTAAAATCGTTAGTCGTAGGGACACAAACAATTCTGGTATTCATAACTTAATCTCAGAAAGCAGTCTGTTAAATAGAGTTGTTCTTCCTGTCTAAAGGCAAGGTTTGGAGTTTATAAAAGGCAGCGGATAACTGCTCTAGGTCTAAACCCACAAATGGTATAGGTTAGAACATCGGGCCTTTGTCGGGCAAAAAATGTTTTGCAGCACACCTAACTCTAAAGCAGTTTTTAAAAAAAAAGTGCAAATTTAATGTTTAGTTATCTTTAATGCGGTGAATGAAACTATTTGGATGAATTTTTCATTATTTCCTTTATGTTTATAGAATCACTTGAAGGTTGCTCCTATGTCTGTTTCTTTGTTTTCGTTTTATGTTTTAAGCGTATTGAGAATGCACTGCAGCCTCACCAATAGCACTTTTTTCTGAATACACCTGTATTCAGAACTCTTCTTAGCTTCCTTCGTCGTTTTTGCTTTAAATTGCTGTCTTTGCTGATCTCAAGCAGATTATGAAAAATTCTCTATTACTGACGCGGCAACCCTGGCACCCAGTTTGAAAACTGCTGGGTTAGAAGGTTATAGTAGAGAGGATCAACTTTATTGCACCAGGTTTTATCCCATATAGCTCGGCCTCTATCCGCAGAACGGCTAGCTGCCTGCCAAGAGCATCGCACAAAGATCAAACTTCGTAGCTCCGGCGATGATGTCCAGAAATCTGTAAAAAATACACTCGTAAAATAAATGGCGCAACTGCAAAATGAACTCATGACCTTTGCCACATGAACCCACATATAGGAGAATGAGAATGTCCAGTCTGAAGCCACAGATAAGAAAAAAAGAATGTCCAGTCTGAACCCACTGATGGGAGAATAATAATGTCCAGTCTAAACCCACAGATGGGAGAATAAGGTTGTCTAGTCTGAACCCACAGATAGGAGAATAAGAATGTCCAGTCTGAACCCACATATGGGAGAATAAGAATGTCCAGTCTGAACTCAGAGATGGGAGAATAAGAATGTCCAGTTTGAACCCACAGATGGGAGAATAAGAATGTCCTGTCTGAACCCACAGATGGGAGAATACGAATGTCCAGTCTGAACCCATAGATTGGAGAATAAGAATGTCTTGTCTGGACCCACAGATGAGAGAATAAGAATGTCCAGTCTGAACCCACAGATGGGAGAATAAGAATGTCCAGTCTGAACCCACAGATGGGAGAATAAGAATGTCCAGTCTGAACCCACAGATAGGAGAATAAGAATGTCTTGTCTGAACCCACAGATGAGAGAATAAGAATGTCCAGTCTGAACCCACAGATGAGAGAATAAGAATGTCCAGTCTGAACCCACAGATGGGAGAATAAGAATGTCCAGTCTGAACCCACAGATGGGAGAATAAGAATGTCCAGTCTGAAGCCACAGATGAGAGAATAATAATGTCCAGTCTGAAGCCACAGATAAGGAAAAAAAATGTCCAGTCTGAACCCACAGATGGGAGAATAAGAATGTCCAGTCTGAACCCACAGAAGGGAGAACAAGAATGTCCAGTCTGAACCTACAGATCGGAGAATAAGAATGTCCAGTCTGAACCCACAGATGAGAGAATAAGAATGTCCAGTCTGAACCCACAGATTGGAGAATAAGAATGTCCAGTCTGAACCCACAGATTGGAGAATAAGAATGTCCAGTCTGAACCCACAGATGAGAGAATAAGAATGTCCAGTCTGAACCCACAGATGAGAGAATAAGAATGTCCAGTCTGAACCCACAAATGGGAGAATAAGAATGTCCAGTCTGAACCCACAGATGGGAGAATGAGAATATTAGGTGAGAGCCTGACATCTCTAGAACCAGCAAGGGTTATTCTTCTTCAGTGATGCTATATGTGTATGCCAGCAGGGGCACACAAAAAGTGGTGTACTTGGGATGCTAATTCACTGAAATCATTGGACTAATCAGCAATATTCTTGTAGTTTCTCATATAGTACACTCAATTTTAAATTCCTTATAATTTTCTCCAGGGCCAAGTTGAAAAGAAGTGGGGACAGAGCATCGCCTTGGTTTAAACCAGATATTATTTTAAAAGTGTCTGACTTTCTGCCTTTATATTTTACTATATTAAAAGTGTCTTCCATACATAGTTTGGTCACGGTGAATAACTTCTTTGGCATTCAAAAGTCCTTCATAGCATTCCATAAACTGTTTCTATGTACACTATCATTCGCCTTTTAAAATCCACAAAAACATTATGTACATCTTTTCTATATGCCTAGTTTTGCTCTGCTATTTGCTGTGAAATGAACATCTGATCTACTGTTGATCTGTTCTGTCGGAAACTCGCCTGGTAATCTCTCAATATGTCTTCGATGTATGATTTTAGTCTGTTTAGCAGTACTGCCGATAGTATCTTATAGCTTGCGTATAATAATATTTCTCTATAATTTTCACATTTAAACTTTATTTCCTTTCTCAAAAATGTATATTAACAATGACACTTTCCACTCACAGGGTAATTTCTCTGTTTTCCAAACTAGTTTTATTAATTCTTATGATACTTAAATGTAATGCATGACCCCCTTCTTCTATAAGTTCAGCAGCAATTCCATCAGCACCAGTTGCTTTATTGTTTTTAAGCCATGTTATGACAAACAGTAAGTACTACTTCAAAATCAGGCTCTTCAATCATTAGTTCACATGTAAGTATCTTTTCCTGTGGATAAGTATCATGCTATAGATAATTTCCTGGGCTCTGTAGCAGCTGAGAAGTCAGCTTATGTTTGTAGGGGTCACAACAAACATGGTCAGCCAGTCACGTCACAGAGGCTAGTTAGTGATAGGGTGAGTGCGTGCATTTCTAAATAGGCTCCAAGTGAGTGCTAGACATCACATACAGCCATTGGGAACATCATATATAATATATGTGCAGCTTCTGATGTCATCACAAACAATGGCCTGTCATTGTTAGATTCTAAAAAGTGTCAGAGATACTTGACATCTGACAATATTAAATAATGCTGGCTATGGCTTCAAAAGCTGACAATATTTTAAAATGCTGACAGTGACATTATTAGGCAACAATTTTAAACAATGCTGGTGATGACATCAGTAGGCAACAATATTGAATAATGCTGGCACTGACATCAGTAGGCAACAATATTAAATAATGCTGGCAATGACATAAATAGGCAACAATATTGAATAATGCTGGCAACGACATCAGTAGGCAACAATATAGAATAATGCTGGCAACGACATCAGTAGGCAACAATATAGAATAATGCTGGCAACGACATCAGTAGGCAACAATATTGAATAATGCTGGCGATGACATCAGTAGGCAACAATATTAAATTATGCTGTCGATGCCAATAGTAGGCAACAATATTAAATAATGTTGGCAATGACATCAGTAGGCAACAATACTGAATAATGCTGGCAATGACATCAGTAGGCAACAATACTAAATAATGATGGCTATGACAACAGTAGGCAACAATAATGAATAATGCTACCGATAACATCAGATGGCAACAATATTAAATGATGCCGGCGATGACATTAGTAGGCAACAATATTAAATAATGTTGGCAATGACATCAGTAGGCAACAATACTGAATAATGCTGGCTATGACAACAGTAGGCAACAATATTAAATAATGCTGGTGATGACATCAGTAGGCAACAATATTGAATAATGCTGGCACTGACATCAGTAGGCAACAATATTAAATAATGCTGGCACTGACATCAGTAGGCAACAATATTAAATAATGCTGGCAACGACATCAGTAGGCAACAATATTAAATAATGCTGGCAACGACATCAGTAGGCAACAATATTAAATAATGCTGGCGATGACATCAGTAGGCAACAATATTAAATAATGCTGGCGATGACATCAGTAGACAACAATATTAAATAATGTTGGCGATGACATCAGTAGGCAACAATTTTAAATAATGCTGGCGATAACATCAGTAGGCAACAATATTAAATGATGCTGGCGATGACATCAGTAGGCAACAATATAAAATAATGCTGGCACTGACATCAGTAGGCAACAATATTAAATAATGCTGGCGATGACATCAGTAGGCAACAATATTAAATAATGCTGGCAACGACATCAGTAGGCAGCAATATTAAAAAATGCTGGCACTGACATCAGTAGGCAACAATATTAAATAATGCTGGCACTGACATCAGTAGGCAACAATATTAAATAATGCTTGCCATGACATCAGTAGGCAGCAATATTTAATAATGCTGGCTATGACATCATCCTCTAATCAGATGTTAGTAAAGCTTATCATGATGAATTCAAGTCAGGGTATGCAACTCTTCAGCAACAACACTCACAGCATGAAAATGAATGACGGGTGAGCGAGTGATTTCTCTAGTCATTTCCTGCACATGCTGGGTGTGAGTGGTGGAGTCAGCTGGAGAATCTGAGCGTGAGTCAGTGTGAGTCAGTGACTGAAAACCTGACGATGATGTAACGGTGGACACCTCGATGGACACCTGTGGGAAGGAGGTGAGGGCAACAAAAACATGAGAGTTGCATTACAACTGACTGAATGATGGCAATAAACATGGGATACAAAAAGCATGCAATCATTCAAAGAACCATTATG